TTTTTTGATTTATTGTAGAGATGAGGTCTCGCTGCCCAGGCAGGTCTCGAACCCGTGGGCTCAGGCAATCCACTCACCTCAGCCTCCCAAAGGCGCGGGATTACAGGCTGAGCCACCGAGCCCGGCAGCAGCATATTTTTTTAACCAAAATATTTTATGGAATAATAAGCTTCATGACTTTCAGTTATTATAGCACTTTAACAAGATTTTTCTTTTTCTTCTCCCATTTTTCTCTATAGATCAAAGACAAAAGAGGTCAATCAGACAGACTTGAGTTCAAATCCCAGCTCCTCTACTTAGGAGTAATATAAAAGCTGGGCAAATTACTTTAACCTTCCTGATCTTAGTTGCCTTTTCAGCAAAACAGATAAAGTGCCACTCACCTCCCAGGTTTCCTATGAAAATGAAATGGAATACGTAAAATAGTATCAAAGTCCCTGGTACATGCCAAGAGCTCAAAATCCATAGCTGTAATCCCAGCACTTTGTGAGGCTGAGGTGAGAGGATTGCCTGAGTCTAGAGGTTCAAGATCAGCCTGGGCAACTTGATGAGACCTTGTCTCTACAAAAAAATCAAAAAGTGAGTCAAGCACGGTAGTACTCGCCTGTAGTTCCAGCTACTTGGAAGGCTGAGGTGGAAGAATCGCCTGAGCCCAGCAAGTCGAGACTGCGGTGGCCATGAGTGTGTCACTGGGCAACTCCAGTCTGGGCAACAGAGTGAGACTTCAACTCAAAAAAAAAAAAAAAATCCATGGCACTTAATATTACTCCATGTAAGAAAAATACAGGAGACCTAAGTCCTGGATTATAGTTTTCATTTTTATGAAATGAAAGCTATATTATCTGGGGAAGTTATTGATCTGCCAGTCTCAGTCTCCTCCTTTGTAGACTGAGAAATGGGCTTGATCTCTATGTTCTCGTCCATGATGATCTGTATTTAATACTATAGTAATCTATCTCTAATGAAAATAAGTTCTTACCTAGTTATCAATTCTAAAATAATGCTATATTTTAGAAATGTATCAGTAAATATAGTATAATTTTAGAAAAAATATACTGTGATATCTAAACGATATGCATGTTTCAACTTTTTATTCATAATCTGGATATCAGAAGAATCCAAAATCTGAGAAATCCTTTAAAAAAGAAAGGAAACAAAACATAATGTTGTAGCACTATTAATTTAAAAAGTTATTTTCTTTTGCCATAACTCTTTAAATTTTAAGGATAAAATTCAAACTACAAGACCTTATAAAAGGTAGAGGATCACCTTATTACTCAAACCTATTTTCCATTAGAAGAATTCCTGTAACAAAGTCCTCATTTCTTTCTAGAATAAAGATTTATTAGTAATCCCCAAAACATGTCTCACGAAAGGTTTTACATTGTCAGTAAAATAGCACAAGAAATTTTTAGAAAGCACTTGCAGTCAGAGACAATAAGAAGTGATTTGTAAGAAGGACGGCAAAGATGGTAGTTCAAGCATATACTTTATGCAAGTAAATATATCAAAAAAGTATTTTCCATACTCGAATTAATTTCAAGTGCTTACCAAAAATTTCTCCCCAAATGGCACTTAAACACCTGCCACTAGGCTTAAAACACCTGCTCCAAATAACTCCCTGTCACTGTCCACAAAACTAGCACACCATCTTCTTTCCTGCAGTGAGGAATTGTATTTTATATCCTATAATAAAAGTATTAACTTCGTAAATAAATCACAAAACAGTGTGTCTAATATGGCTCCACATATAAGAAAAATGTATATACACATCAACACAGTGTTTGTTTAGGTGCAATACATTCCTGAAACATGAAAAGCTACTAATCCATCTACAGCAGTCAAGAAACAAAAAATTTAAAACTACTATTTTTTTTTTTTATTCAGCAGATTGGCAAAATGGAAAGACTGATAACATCCAATGCTGGCAAAAGCTTAGGAAGACATACTTTACTACATTGTTGATGAGAATATATACCTTGTGGAGGATAATTTGGCAGCATCTTTTACATATAAAATAAGCACACACTTCAATCAAATAATCTCACTGCTAGGCATCACTCCTAAGTGTCTACATATGGGCACAAAGAGGCATACACAAGGATTGCATCATTATTTGTAAATGTGAAAACTGCCAACAACCTATATAATGGGGTATGGTTAAATTCTCTCTATTTTGTGAAATACTATGCTTAAGTTAAAAATAAGGTACAGACATATACCATACAAATAACAAACCAAAAGTATAATATTAAATGGGATTTAAAAAAAGCAAGCTGCAGAAGAATATAGCATGACTCAATCTATGTTTGTAAAATATACACACAAAACTGAATTCCTGTATTGTGTGTACTTTTATGTAAATGAATTAAATTCTAGAAGGACTTGAGTTTTGATATATTTTTGCATTACTATTACAAAATGTACTCATGCATTACTTATATAATTAAACTAAATTAAATAAATTAAAACCATAATTCTTTAAAAATCTGGAAGAGTATATGTGAAAGTGTTAACACTGTCTACCTTTGGACAGTAGGAGTCTGAAGGGGATAAGATTTCCACTTTTCAATCTCAAATACTTCTGTACTGTTTTATTTATAAAATCACATATTCCTTTAAATTAAAAAGCTAATGCAAAAAAACTCTGAAAGAAAAGTATTAATTTAGACACTGAAGCTCCTCATTTCCAAAAATGATTGAAAAATCTTAGAAGAAAGCATATATTTCTAAGCATCTCTAAGATTTATCTAGTGATAAATGATCACTTTATATTTATTGCATGTGTGTGTATAACTGTGACCTCCTTAAAGGCAGGAATGGTGTCAGTTATTTGTTTCACATGTATCCCCAAAGACTGAATCCCGCGTCTGACACAGAAGCTTATAAATGCTTGCTAATAAATGCTTGTTAATAGAATAACTTATGCCATAAAGCAGCTTTAAGAGATAACAAATGTGAGAAAACCTCAAAAGGTGAGAAAACAAATCTGACAAAATCAATGATACAATTTCAAAAACAGATGGGAATTATCTACCAAATCTTTAGCCCACAAAAAATCTTCATACTTACATCTTTATGAATGATTTTAAAAGGCAGGGAAAACCACATGCAAAATTGAGAGAACATTAATATTTACCAGCAATTCTAGAAGAAATTCTTTATCAAAAGTTGTGTCTTCATTTTTAGGGAGGGTTGGCAACAAGCAGAGGTATGATGCCACCTGGTGGAGTGTGTTTGAACTGCAGAATAAAAATATTTAGAATATTTTATTTACAGCTACTTTACTTTTGAAACATGCAATTTTTAAAAAAGATAATCTTTTTAAAAAGATAATCCTATGACATGGGCTGCAAATATCAAAAGACAGCAACAACAACTAAAACTTTAGGGCAATCTCTTCGGGTCCCTTCCCACTGTGGGGGCTTTTCTGTCCTCTTAATAAATCCTGCTTAACAAAACAAAACAAAACAAAAACCCTAAACTTAACCTTTAATGTTTAAAGTGTTCTCTGCAAACCTCTCATGGTACCTGGGATCCTTCCAGGGAGACTACAAGAATAACACTTTAACATTAATATTAATACTAACACATTGTTTTTTACTGCTTTTATATATACACTGATGGTACAAAAACAACGGTGGGTAAAACTGCTGGCAAGAATCTAGGCAGTGGCACCAACCTGTACTATACGTAGTCATAGTGTTCCTCACTTCTACATGCAGGTTAAAAAAAGTTTTATTTAAAAATGTCCTTGATGGAGCAGTAAAAGTTATTAATGCTATTATATTTGAACTGAATACTCGTTTCTTAAAAATACCGTGTGACAAAATGGGAAATACATATTTTGCACACAGTCTTTCCTTGAAAAAGAATGACTGACAAACTATCCTTATCAGGTCTTGCTCAAATGGCAATTTGTTTCAAATTTGAATGAAATAAGCCTGTAACTTCAAGGAAAATAAGGGTCAGTGTTTGTTAGCAATGATAACATTTGAACACATTTGCCACTGTGAGCTTCACAGCTTTCCACTTAGTTTCATCAATCCCTCCCCCAAAGCCCACATGTCACTTTTTATCAAACCTTCCTCTCCATCCTAGGCCCTCACAACCACTAATCTGTTTTCAATCTGTCATTTCATCTTTTCCAGATCAAATAAATGGAATCACACTTTAGGTCGCTTTTTGACAATGGTTGCTTTCATGTAGCATAATGCATTTGAGATTCACGCACACTGTAATGTGTATCTGGTGTTGGATGCTTTATTCCATTATATGTCTATACCACATTGTGTTTACTGATTCAACAGTGAAGGATAATTGTGTTTTCCTGTTTTTGAGACAATTATGGATAAAGCCAGTATATGCATTTTTGTACAGATTTTGTGTGAACGTAAGTTTTCAGTTCTCTTGAGTATATCTGTGAGTGGGGAACACTGGATCATAATGTAAATGCATGTTTAACTTGACAAGAAAATGTCAAATTTTTCCAAAGTAGCTATTCCATTTTGAATTTCCACCAGCAATGTATGAGAATTCTAGCTGTTTCACATCTTTGCCAAGAGTCAATAGTTTTTTTTTTAAACAATTCTAAAATGTACGTGTATAGTAATATCTTGTTATAATTAAAATTTGCCATTTCTCCAATGACTAAAGATATTAAGCATCTCTCCATGGGCTCATTGATAGCTATCTTCTTCGGTGAAGTGTCTGTTCAAAACTTTTGCCATTTTTTATCAAGTTGTTTTCTTACTACAGTAGTCTCCTCTTATCCATGGTTTCACTTGCCATGAGTTTTAGTTATCCATGGTTGACCACAGTCTGGAAACAGGTGAGTATAGTACAATAAGATATTTTGAGAGGGACCACATTCACCTAAGTTTTATTACAGCATATTGTTTAAATTATTCTCTTTTATTATTAATTATTGTTAATCTCTTATTGTGCCTAATATATAAAAATTAAACTTTATCATAGGTATATACGTATAGGGTTCAATGGAAGTCTTGAAACATGTCTTCTGTGAAATGGGGGACTATTGTATCAGATGTTGTGACTTCTGGATACCATTCCTTCATCAGACATCTGTTTAGTTAACATTTCCTCCCAGTTTGTGGCTTGACTTTTCTTTTTTTTTTTGAGTTGGAGTCTCACTCTGTCACCCAGACTGGAGTGCAATGGCCGCTCCCGGCCACCGCAGCCTCGACCTGCTGGGCTCCAGTGATCCTTCTGCCTCAGTCTTTCGAGTAGCTGGAACTACAGGCGCGTACTACCACACCTGGCTAATTTTTGATTTATTGTAGAGATATGGTCTCGTCAAGTTGCCCAGGCGGGTCTCGAACCCATGGGATCAGGCAATCCATTCACCTCGACCTTCCAAAGTGCTAGAATTATAGGCTGAGCCACCGATCCCGGATGGCTTGACTTTTCATATTTGTTTTTTTGTTTTTGAGCTGGAGTCTCACTCCATCGCCCAGGCTGGAGTGCAGTGGCACACAGGCTCATGGCCACCCCAGTGTTGACCTGCTGGGTTCCAGCAATCCTTCCACCTCAGCCTTTCAAGTGGCCGGAACTACAGGCACATGCTACCATACCCAGCTAATTTTTGATTTACTGTAGAGTCGAGGGCTCGCCAAGTTGCCTGGGCTGGTCTCAAACCTCAGGCTTGGGCAATCCACTCACCTCGGCCTCCCAAAGTGCTGGGATTACAGGCTGAGCCACTGAGCCTGGCCCGACTTTTCATAGTCTTAAAGTCACCCTCCAAAGAGCAGAAGTTTTTTAATTATGATAAAGTCCAATTAATTTTTTTCACTATAGATTATGCTTTGATATTTAAAGAAACCTTTACAAAAACAACACTCCAAAGATTTTCTCCTATATTTCCTAGATGTTTTACTTTTGACATGTAGGTCTATAATGCATTTTGAATTAATTTGTATAGATAATGTGAGGCGTGAGTCAAGATTCATACTTTGCATATAGATGTTTAATTGTCCCAGTACCACTGTTGAAAAGGTTGCCTTTTCTCCACTAAGCTGCCTTGGTACATTAGTCAAAACTCAACTAATCATATATGTATAGTATATTTCTGGACATGAATGTATATGTCTATTCATTAATTCATTTTTGAGCCAAGGTCTCACTTGCCCAGGCTGGAATGCAGTGGCACAATCACAGCTCACCACAGCCTCAACCTCCTGGGGTCACGCAATCCTTCCATCTCAGCCTGCTGAGTAGCTGGGACAAGAGGTGTGCGCTATCACCTCCAGCTAATTTTTTTTTTAATATTTGGAGAGACGAAGTCTCGCTATATTGCCCAGGTTGGTCTCTAACTCCTGAGCTCAAGCAATTCTCCTACCTTGTCCTCTTAAAATGCTGGGAATACAGGTACAAGTCACTGCATCCAGTCATGTCCATCCATTTATCAATGCTGTAATTTCTTAATTGCTGTAGCTTTATAGTAAGCTTTGAAATTAGGTAGTAAAGATCCTCTTTGTTCTGTTCCAAAATGATTTTTGGCTATTTTAATTCCCTTACCTTTCCATATTATTCTTAGAATATGTTTGTCAGTTTCTATAAAATATCTTGCTAGAATTTTAACTGGAATTAACTTATATCTACAGATTAATTTGGGAAGGATTCACACCTTAACTGAGTCCTCTCATCCACGAGCAAAACGTATCTTTCAATTTTTCAAATTAATTCATTTTAATTACAGACTTCCTTGACATGGTTTCAGATTCCATTCTGTAACTAATTTTTAAGGATCACCAGAGCCCAGCAGGTCGAGGCTGCGGTGGCCGGGAGCGGCCACTGCACTCCAGTCCGGGCGACAGAATGAGACTCCAACTCAAAAAAACCCAAAAAAACCCCAAAAAAACTCTACCACTTAAGTTTTGATATAGTCTGAAAGAATAACCCCAATTATCTGATAAAGCTATCAAAATACACTTTACTCTGTGGAAGGTCACATCTTCTTCATTTACTTCAGCCAAAACAATATTTCACAACAAACTGAATCCAGAAGCAGATCTGCAAATCCAGCTATCTCCAATTAAATCAGACATTAAAGAGATTCATAAAAATGTAAAACAATGATACTCTTCTCACCATGTATATTTTCATTTTGAAGAATACAGTTTTCAGTAACAATATGAATGCTAACATTTAACATATTTTAATTGATATTTTAAAATGAATAAATATTTGAAATCGTTCCAGGCTTTGTTTTTTTTAATATAGTAAATATAATAAATATAATTCACATAACTAAAAGTTCTTCAGGATCCTCAGTAATTTTTAAGAGTGTAAGAGTGGGCTGGGCTTGGTGGCTCAGCCTGTAATCCCAGCACTTTGGGAGGCCGAGGCAAGTGGATTGCTTGAGCCTACGGGCTCGAGACCAGCCCGGGCAACTTGGCAAGACCTCGTCTCTATGATAAAATAAAAACAGTCAGGTGTGGTAGCGCACGTCTGCAGTTCCGGTTACTCGGAAGGTTGAGGCGGAAGGATCGCTGGAGCCCAGAAGGTTGACACTAGAGTGGCCGTGAGCGTGCATCATGCCACTGCACTCCAGCCTGGGTGAAGGAGTGAGACTCTAACTCAAAAAAAAAAAAAAAAAGAGTGTAAAGTTCTATGGGTAAAAATAAATTCCCTGGATGGATTATGAAGTTAAATTCAATGTAAAAATGCAAATCTATAAATGTTTTAAAAATATAAGACAGGCGGAAGGATCGCCGGAGCCCAGCAGGTCGAGGCTGCGGTGGCCGGGAGCGGCCACTGCACTCCAGTCTGGGCGACAGAGGGAGACTC